CCCCAAAACCCCAAAACCCCAAAACCCCAAAACCCCTTTGAATAAACTTTATGTTGAATTATCATGCTTAAAAGGCTGTAAAATATCTCAATTAGGGGTTAAATTCTACCTACACCTTTCATTGCTACAGCCATTAGACCGTTCTCTTTGTTGCTTTCTCTCTGTTCCCGGTTTTGGGAGTTAGTAGACTTTGGCTTAGCGAAGATATTTCTTTTCTCTCGGCTGTCCAGACGATCATAACTCCTTTTCATACCTCCTATGGATAGGATTAGAGATATAATTTACCTTGAATTGCTATTGTACTGGCTTTAGAACTGCTCTTCTTAGCAAAACTTATGTCATTCCCATCAGCATCAAAGGGAATGTAGTTCAGAGGAGGTTTGCCAGACTCTTTTGAGGATGACTTCTTTATACAAAGATCTTGGATCAGCTCTGGAGTCAGGTTATAACTTTGGCTATCCTCTGTGTATTGTGAAGAGGTATCTCTGTTTATATCCTTCTCTGACAATACGATGACATCAGTTTTTCTATCATTGTTAGACCTAAGGAATGAAAAAGCATTAATTACGAGTAAGAGTCGCTGTATGATCCATCCTTTACTTTAATGCTTGTATTTACTCCTGCTCTAACTTCTTGTTCTTCATATCTTGGAAGTTCAGCTCTACTGTTGACTCTGCTGCCAGTCCTACTATTACTTTGACTTCTAGTGGCAGACAGGGATCTAGAACTGAGCATATAGCTATACCTTGTTGTAAGCTGTAATCTGTGAATCTTGTCAAGTAGCATTTCAACATCTTTATTCTCTATGTCTTGGATTTCTTGAATTTTCTTGATATTTGCATTTTTCCATTTGTTAAATCCTTGTTTCATAATGTCAATATGGTCAAAGATTTTGATGTCGTCTCCGGAACCATGTTCATTGACATTTGATTCTTTGACTTTAAGAGCTATTGCGTTAAGATCTTCTTGAGTGAGATTTCCACCTTTGTCCATTAACTCAGACATGCTCATGATAAACAAGTTAACCTTTTTGTTTGTCTAGAGTAATTACAATGATAAAACTTACATCTATGATGGTCTTTTTACAGAATGAGTTAATCTCAGAGGCGCCTTGATAAAGGCTATTTAGGTTCTTTATACTCTTTCCGTAGTCGTTTAACTTAGAAAGAACTACCTCGTCGTCCTTTGACTGGGTTTTAGCCTTCAATTTCTTCTTGATAATATCCATTAGTGAGTATATATCGTTGATGTTCTTAGCGAAGAACTCAAATTTTGACTTCATATTCTCTTGAATCGAGTCTAGGTCTGCAGTCTGAGGTTCTTTCTCCTTTAAGATCTCAACTTCTCCTTGGAGGTTTTCAATTATGTCATGAACATTCCCAAACTCTTCATTGGCAGAAGTCTTTATCTCATTGATTTCTTCAGTAAGTTCTGTGAATTTAGCCTCCCAGACATGGGATACATCTTCGAGGAACTGTCTATCTTCAGACATTTCTATCTCACGATCACAAGGAAGTTTGTCTTTGTCTGTTCCACAACGTGTCAGGGTCTTTTCATCATGTTTATTCCACTTGTCCACCAGAATGGACATCCTATCCATGACTTTTCCAAAGACTTCTTCAGACATATTCTTGTCTTGTGAGAGGAAGTTGGCTTCAGAGTCATTACTCTTATTCTGGATTTTATCAATACTACTGTTTAGACAGCTAATCATGTTGTTGAAATCATAGATTTCATGATCTCTTTCTTCCTGATTTCCTTTAACTAAGTTCTTGACAAGTCCTACGATAGCATCTCCAAATTGATTGTAAGCCTTTTTGCTTTCTTCAGTGTTTGATTCTGAATCACCAATCTTTTGCTGAAATTCATAAATCTTATCTAGCTTGTTGTCAACTTTTTCCCATACAAGATCTTGAGTTGTTTTCTCTGCAGAGATAAATGCTCTACCTTGGCGGCTATTTACATTTCTGCTGATCTCATTGATCCTGTTCTTCAGGCAAGTGAGTTCTCTTGAGAAATCCCTCTGTGCTCTGCTCTGCTCAATACATTGCTTAACTTTATCACTAAGGAACTTGATTGCTTCAAAGTTTTCCTGGTAACTAGAATCTAGCTTTATGGAAACTTTCTTCTCAAGTTCTTGAAATTCAGCTCGAACATTATGTCCAATCTCCTTCCTGATTGTGCCTTTTTGGTGATGCTTAAGCTCCTCAATAATGTTGTCTTTTTCATCCCTTATGAGTCTTTTTATCTCAGATTTTGTTAGAGTCTGAGTGGTAATCTCACTCTCTGCTTGTAAAGCTGAATATTAGTAAAAAGATAAGATTACCTTTAATTTTCCTCTCCATTTCATGAAATTTATCCGACATTTCTTCCTCAAGTCGGGTCTGAAGTTTGTTCATCAACTTGCGGATTTGTACAGAATGGGAATGAGAGATGTTTGGGATATCGAAACTATCAGATTGATCTGGACCTCTGTGCTGAATAGTTCTAAGAATCATTGGGTTTACAATCTCTCAGTCTTCATCATTCAGACCTCTACTTCCACTTCAGTTGGCTCTTCTGCTCGCTCTCACTGAGCTGAATTGTTCCTTCTGAGAAGGAGGATGGAAGTCACTTTGAGAGATCATATCCATTGATCCTGTCATCTGACTTGTCATTTGGGACAATTGATTAGACTGATGATTTCTCTTCTTAATTTTCTTCTTGACACTTCTTTTGTCTTTCACAATCATATTGGCCAGAAGAGGAGGCTGGTTTTTGCCTCTATTATCATAATTGCCATTGGTTTTGATAATCCTACATTCTTCAGCTGGAGAAACACTTTGCTCTGCATTTCTGAGCCGACCAAGAGGATTCAGATTATTGAATATACCAAAACTACCTTCAATAGAGTTCTGTTCTGTTGAATCATACTGGTTCATTCTTTTGAGTGAAGGGATATCGCTTCCAAGCTCCTCCTAAAAATTGAAATGTCGTTTGCTTTAAAGTCATACCTCTAAGATCCTGTGATGGCTTGATAAATCGTGATCAATCTGTGAGTTCTCCCTCTTCTTAGTAGGAATACTATTTGCAATGTCTGGTGAAGACTTTCAATTATATAAAGACTTTACAAGAATGCTATCTGGGTCCATCTATATTTAAAATATGAAACATTTTAAATTCAAAAGGAACAGAGTGAGCAGATTTTTTAAAATTTCATGGTTCTCAGAAAAATTAACCAACAATGCCTAAGAATTTCACCAGTAATTTGTCTGCACCAAATACAAGAATGTTTATAAGCCCAAGGGGCCCACTAGTCACAACAAAGGTTAGGTTTAGTCCTCATTTCTTACATTTTAACGTTATATTTCAAATGTTAATGATTTCATAGGGGTTTTGGGGTTTTGGGGTTTTGGGGTTTTGGGG